ATGAACGTGTCGAAGTCGTCACGGCAGAGGCGTTGGTTGATGTATTCATTCAACCAGGCGAAAAGGAGAGAATAAAGCGTCTTTGCAAGGTCGTCACGGTTGTCAGAAGCACCATCGGGATTGAGGAAAACAGTGCAGAGCTCCTTCTTGACAAGCTTCGTCTTATATGCAAGTGTGCTTTCGAGTGCGGGTGGCTGTACACCAAGAAACTCGGCAACGATGCCGAGAACGTCCACGTTCCGAACGACCGCTGCGTCGACGTCACGACCGCGGTCGATGGTGAACTCGATGTTGCCTAGATGGAGGATGGCCGCGACGAGCTGACATGTTTGGGCAACATGTCGCTTGGACAGACCAATGGACTTGAGAGCCAACTTCAGTTGTTCGAAGCGATTGGCGTCGTCGTCACGGACGCCGTTAGGGCGAGTGCCAGTGCCGGCACGCTGGCCGAGATATCGGTACTGGGTCTTGTCGGCGAGGTGAAGATGCTGACGCTCCTCCGCAGACGCGCCAGCCATCAGATAGTAGAAAATGTGGAAGTTGCGCTCTCCGGATGGCACAGCCGCCACTCGATTGCGTTCGAGATAGTAGTCAAGTGACTTGATACCACACAACCGCCCTTTGTCCGTGAACTGCAGCTCCGTATATTTTCCAAAGCGAGATGCATTTGGATTGAAGAGCGTGCGAGCGTTTCCGAAGGACTCTATGACGAATTCAGCTGCGGGCACCTGGCTCGCGAGCTTGGAGCCCTTCTTTCCCGGATTGGAAACGGACAGCTCCAACAGCGTTTTAATAGCGAGGCGGCGGCTTTCCGACTTGCCACTGCCCGTTTCACCACTATGAAAGAATACGACGTTCATACATCGTACTTTGAGCAATAAAAAAAACAATAATGCACCTGATGATAAACGATTGGTCCTGGGCCGTGCGTCGCATGTGGTAGTAGGCGTTGTTGACAAGCTGGAAAATGTGGGGAGGTAGGGGGGCCTTGTTTTCCGCCGTGTCCCGATAGTCTGTGGCGTACTTTTGGAGAACGGAGTCGGCGTTGGAAGCAACATACTTGTGGGGGTTGACAGTGACGAGGGCAGAGGATCCGATGCTGGTGTAGATGGTGTCGGACATGAAACGTTCGCGGAGGCAGGTGACGATGACATCGTCTGAGATGGAGGATAGGCTGGCGAGGTCGGAGACGGCCTCGAGCCGCTGCTGCAGGCTCATCCCGGTGGACTGCCTGTTCATGTGTTGGGACTGTCAGGCCTGTAACAAAGGAGGAGGGAAACGGGCTGGCAGGGACGGGGAGGAGGGAAAGGAAAGGAACGAACGAGGCGGACGAGGGAGCTGGACGGCGACAAGCCTGGAAAACACTCGGCTCTATTAACGCGGCTAACTTTGGCATCACTCGACTTTTCCCACGCCGGCCTCTCTTCATTTTTTAGCCAGCCATCGCAATCGACGGCGAGCACGGCGAGGCAACTAAAAAATTACTACTGACACGGTAAACGCTATTGCTTGAACTTGGTTCAGATCATGTATTGTTGAAAAAATTGTGCACAAAAATATGGGCCTTGCTGGGAATCGAACCCAGGCCACTTGCAATTGCGATTCGCCCAAAGCAAGTATCGTACCTCTAGACTACAAGGCCGTATAATTAGCTTTTTATACTTCCTTCCATGATTGCAATGGGTGGCTGACAAGAATAACCCCCTGACAAGGGCTCGCCATCCATCCGTCTCGACTACCACCTTCCTCGCTATCAACATGCTTTCGAATATGAGCTGCAGCACCCTTCCCTTCGATATACCCGTCCTTCCTGACACCAGCACTCCCTATCCAGAAGACGACCCTTTCGCACTACTCAACTTTGACGATCTCCTCGACATTGCATGCGAATTCGAATTCACCCGTACGATCAACCACATCTGGCCATGCGAAGAAGAACCCAACACATGCCCCGACAGGGGATTGGACGATTTACTCGCCGCGATCGTACACACGCCGAACGCCGAAGAAAGCCCTATACCGCGGTCGAGTTCCGCACCGTCGGTGACCATCGACCCAGTCCACGTTCAAGAAGTCGAGTTGCACAGATCGACATCTAGATGTCCTGCACCCGATGCAAACGCAGGTATCCCTAGAGACCCTGTGTCTCTTCCAGAGGAGGTTCGAACCGAGGACGCCGCTCCGATCACATCAACTCTCCAGGGATGGTCCCCTCCCAATGGATCCCAATTCCTCGATCTCGATGACAGTCTTATGCTCCCCCAGCCAGCGAAGGACACGTGGAACTCACCGTGGCTAGCGATGTTCCTCGCGTCTTCGTCTACGCAGCCCATGAGCGACATGGACCAAGCATTTGCAACGGTTTCCGCGATTCGTGACGTGCAGCCAGAGACGCCGGCAACAGCACTGCCGAAATCCCCACCTGTAAGCACAACCGATAAGACAACCAACGATCCCAGGAAGAAGAGTGTACCCACCCCAGTGCAGCCTTCGACACGCGCTATTCCTGACCCGGTCCGGGTTCGGTCCGCAGCGCAAACCAACTCGAATGTGCCGAGTCAAACGGTCGTGGACTCCCATGCGAAGACATCAAAGTCTCGACCTGCAATGGGTGGTACGTCGAACTACGCCAGAGCTCCTAGAGGCGGTATCCCACCCCACATTGCGCGCTCGGTGACAAAAGCGAACATCCTCCGCGTCGAGAAAGAGCGCAAGGTCATGCAGGATGCTTTTTCTAGCACGGTTTTGGGAGAAATCAAGAAACCAAGCGTGCTTCAGAGAGTGGCCAAGGCCGAGAAGGGAGCCAGCAAGAACGTGAATGGTAGCGGAAGTGGAAAGAAACCGTTTGACCTGGGCGAGAACGACAAGAAAGAAGGAAGAGCAGCGAAGAGGGCGAGAGTATAAACGGTGATCGCAGTCGAGTTCGCTTCTTGGTTTTTCATCGTTTTCAGCTTCGTGCTTTCAGATATTTTGCAACATTTGTGTATGTATCTTCGTTCTTCATGTTCACTGTGGATAGTTTATGCCGACGTAAATCACCTTGCTTCACGTGAATCGGATATTTGGATCCATCTTATGTACTGTGATTTTGCTGGTGAGATCTTGACAACGGGCCCGACTCTGTGCGTCTAGAAAGTCGCACGCCTGCTTGTTCGGAACGATGCGTCGTCTAAGGGCAATTCCTTCAACGGAACGAACTTGAAGGAATCGCTGTTAGACGCTCATCAATAATTGGTGGGACGAGACTTGGTAGGCGTAGACAGAGCCAAAGCGCAAGGGTAGCTCCATCGCTTCGTGACCATCTTATCACAGTGACACTAATTTGGTCAAACCGCTGCGGACTCCTGTGTTGGAGTACCACCGTAGCTCCCTACGGCACTGTCCCCTTGATGTATACACATGGTAGCAAGGATACGGTTGCAATTCCCAGCAAAGACATTCGTGGCAAGTCCCGCTACGGAGATAGACGAAGCGATCACCTCGCACTCCTTTCTGGTCGGGGAAGAGATCGCACACGAACGCACAGATTGATCGCAAGGACGAAGAAACGTGCCGAGACATGGGAATCGACAGAGTCAATGGCCTCACATTGTCTCTCTCTGACAGACGATAAAGGGGCACTCACAGGATGTTCTAGTCTCTCTGATGTACGTCGTTTTCTTTTCGACAATATCACATTGTGACTACCTGACGTCGGTCAACCATACCGCCAAATATGAACCCCCCGTAGAGATCCGTCGTAAGAAATGCCATACCAGTCTCGTCGAGCATGCATTCGACACGCCCTTTCGTTCACAAGGCGACATTGCGGGCCCTTTCGCCTCGTCCCAAGCTCAAGATGATGCACAGGACGGATGACGCCTCATCCGATGAGTCTAGCTTTCCCAAAAGTCGAAGATCGGCTGTTGTCACACTTCATGACGAGATCGAGTTTTGAACTATGGTCTTGGCATGGCTTACGCCGTGGCCTCGGACTATGGGGGGGATAATAAAGATTATTGTGATGGCGATTCGTAAGTGACGTCCGCACCCAGATGAGTCGCCCACTCCAACGCACTTATGCCATCTAGGCACAAAACTA